ACAGACAACCTCTCGTCAATATGCGTTTTTTGCATTGCATTACTGCAAAAAACGCATAAAAACGAGGGGTCTTTCGTTCCTCCCCTCCACTCTCCAGGTGCTTAGGTAGCAGTTATTTTACCGTAGAAAAGTCTACTTGGAATGACTTGTCGCCCCCCCCCCTCCCCTCTCCCCAGGAGCCTTTAAGGGAAGGGGGTGAGGGGGAGGGAGTGTAGTGAGACGTTCGAAGGGGAAAGAAGAGGGGATAGTGCGGTGAGTGAAGGGTAGGTTGGAAGCTGCCCGGTGGAGGAGGGGGAGGAAGGAGTGTAGTGGCGAAGGAAGAAGGTGAAGTGAAAAATCCCCTCTCCTCTCCTCCGCCCCCTCCCCCAGGAGGCCCTGGATCCGCCTATGTAGGTAGCAATTCATCATCGTCCAGAAGCGCAAAATTCGAAGCTGAGGTGATGATGCTAAACATAAACCAAAGGCATATCGGGACGACTGAACAGATGCCAAGTGCTTTTGCTGGTTGAAACATTCGGCTGGCAACCTCCAGGAAATGCAACGAATGTGAGCAGTGGCAGTAAGCGATTAAGTTTGCAACTTTCGTTATTTACCTAATAAGGCTCGGCGTTTTCTTCCCGGAAGAAACTCAGTGTTACACCACAACTTTTGTACTAACGAGGTCCAGCTGCGGTGCTGGAAAGAAATGCCTACGATTTCACGAACCGAAACATTCCTTTCAAGTTTGACTTCCACTTTTTTTTTACGTTTCTTCAAAAAGCTTTCTGTTCTCATACTTAATGCAACAATTTTTTTTTAATTTTCCTCTAATACAATTTCCCAATAATAGCAATAGTCCTTTTCATAACTCCACTCACTCATCTTGCCATCTTGTTCTAATTTATTTTCTAGAATATAAGTACACTGAAGGAGTTTCATAAAGCTTCGAGTGCTTTTAATAACAGCATCTTACCACAGCAGATTTTCCATCTTGACGCACTGGGTATAAGCTGTCAATTTTAATCCATCTCCTAACTCTGTATTGCACACTGCCGCTCACTCTGGTTTCTTCTTTCGGCCTTAAACATAACGTATTAGAAATTAGAAAGCAAAAAAAGGGCCATGGAAGCCCAGGCAAAATTAGTCATTCCAAGCTGGAATAACTTGTCAGGAAATTTACTGACAATAATAAATATGATGATGAATTCATGATGGGTAGTATGACGCAGTGGCAAGTAATACTGCCTCATATTGAAAATCAACCATTCGATTCCATCGCTATGACAATCCAATTTCATTTGTTTTACTGCTAAATCACACCAGTGCATGCAAGAAAGTTAAACCAGCTACGGATCGTCAACCGCCTCGTCAGTGATCGCAGAATGAATACAAAGTTCTAAAATTTCTACTAGAACTCCGCTGTGTTGAAGGCAATGACGTACGGATGCAAACCGCGGTCACTCACGAAAGCTGAATAGCGAACACTAGCAGTGTCGAAGAGAGCGATGAAGCGGAGGATGCTTGGCATATCCCTTCGTGACCATATAAATTACGCATGGACAAATTTTAGCGACACGCGGACCTGATTTACATACTTACTTAAGCTCGCGGGCTACCTTTTAATAAAACACTAGGCCTGCCTTTGCGACCATGTGTTTTTGCGCTAAGTTTGGTGCAGTCAGATCGTCAACAGTGTGAATGGTTGTCGCTTTACAGTTTAACATGTATAACTCATGTGTCTGTATTTTGGTCTTTTCTTACATATGAGGGAAAAGGGCGTCAGCAGGGACGGTTCTATTGCATGTTGTTCCTCGTTAATGCTGAATTGAAAGTAGGTGACAATGTTCACTCGCTTCTCAAAACACATGCACACAGACATGCTCTCAACATTATGCGTTTTTGCACTTGCATAAGATGTAAAAACGCACAAAAATTGATAAATTTCTACCAGGTTGCTCATTCAGTAAAAAAAAAGATAAACAACAGCAGGTTAATGTGAGCTCTGGGCTTGATCTTTTGACAAAAGATTATTGAAATCTGGATTTATATCAATGACACAGAATCTCAAAGTATTTTTCGGATTGTCGTCTGTGTATTTTATTTTTATTTATTTTCATGGGAATGCAGAGGCGTGGCGGAGTACAAACCCCCAGTTTATCTAGTTAGACATGACATCCCGATCCCCTGCTCGGGCGGATTAAAATCGGTCGGGGGCCCCTGTTTGCCCATATGTGATACAAACAATCAAACTCTCCGTCAGATGAGCGGTGTTCAGGATAACACTGCGTCTAACACCAGAAAAGGACATGTTGCTCGCCTTGCCGACACGATGGACAATGCACATTAGCGCATAATGCCCAGAAGTAAGCGATCACTCCAGCAACACGAGGACGTTGCACACATACACAGAAGAGGTGTGGGTAATAATTGGAAGCGTGCAGCCCACGATCAAAGGGCCCGGTATAGCTACGCTCGACATGTGAAGCATTAAAGTAACAACACTAGCGGACAAAATTTACAGTGATAGCCCCGAGCAGTCTCGACACTTTTATTTTATTTGAACTCAAACATAATCCAAACAGAACAATAATCAGAAATCCAGTAAGGGATTGAAGAAAAAATCCAAAAAACTTACATAACCCAAAATCGAATCCAGTCACCAATGTCTAAATTTTTCCATATGCTGCATATGCCTTCACCCTCTAACGAAGGTGTCCAAATAAATCGACATTTATCCGCTTCACCAACAACAATACCTACATAGGAGTCATGCTCGAAACCTCCAGCGCATTCGCGGCTTGAATTCGCCACAACAGGCAGATCCTTTCTTTCATTCTGAAACAAAAGCCATTAAATCAACAACTTTCTTTAGACATGCTATCTCATACTCCGTCCCGAGAATGTCAGCAGTTTTACTATTTGTCCCTGAAAAACTTTGGCGGGGCCCGCACTTGGGTACTACGTGAGCAAAAGCGCCCATTTTGGGGACGGTGGACCGTACATGCATGTAGATTAAGTTTCCAAAGTTTCAGCCTTGTAGCTCTTGTAGGTCTCGAGATGAAAAATTGGCACAGGCGAACACACAGACAACCCCTCGTCAACATGCGTTTTCTGTATTGCATAGATGCAAAAAACGCATAAAACCTAAATGGAAGTAGTTTAAGTTGAAGAAAAATAAATCAGAAAAGTATGAATGATTCGGTCCATTAAGTGTAATCATGCAATATCTCATTTAGGATATATCAAACGAAAATGGATTACCTGGATGCACCCATTGGAGCGGTGCGAACCAGAGGAATTCTCGGCCTTTGTAACACTAGTTACACACCAGCGTCCCTTCTTCAAGAACATCTTGAATACGTACGAATTGTCTACCACTGGAGCCGTTTCGAATCTGTAATAGTAATGGATCAAAAAAAAAAAAACTCACACTGCTCTCTCTTTCAGTCACGGCAGTGGGAACAGCAATGGCAAATAAAGTAGCAATGAAGTGTTTGTTCAACTCAACAAGTTTTTTAGAAATTTTAAAGACACAAACAATGAATATCCCTGGCCAGAAGACTGGAGGAGGACGGGGGGTTGAAATCTTTTATGTGTTAACATATGCAGTTTGTTTGCCGTTGCTGGCCCACTGTGCAGAGGAACAGAATCGAATTTTGATAATTAATAAAAAACTGGAAGTGCCATTTAGATCTCCCAAATAAGCAAGCCTTTATGTACAGTGACTTGATAGCCTGTAGGTCATAATACAAACGTCTTCAAAAGCTAATTTAAACCAATATTTTAAGAAGCGTTATAATTTAGCTGCTTACGCACAAACATAACCTTACAGCTTATTTATTACTAAACGAATAATTCGCTGCAAACACTTCAAGGTGCCATCTACATATGTGCTATTTAGTGGAAAAGTGTATCGTCAGCAACAAAAAATTAACACCTCTTCACTATATCTACCTTTCCTACAAGAATTAACGTACATTCCTTGTTCGTCTAGCGGATATCCCTACTCTGTATCTTTTCTCAGCTCAAGTAAGATAAAAAAGCGGAAAGTTTGTGATGCTCTCGGCCTTCAAAACTACGTAAAAAGGGATAATTTTGTGGTGGGGCATCCCCTTTTACGCCACAAAGTTCAAAGAAAAAAAAATATTTTAAAAAAACACGTATTTGATAGGAAATAATCAGCGTATGCTAATCTACGTGTCATGCCTCCCCCATATAATCTACGCAGTAATTTCGTCTTTGGAAGCTAAAATAGGCGCAGTACTGTATGATTTAGTGCATTCATAAAGTCAAAATTATACAAATAAAAAAAAATCCGAAAATTCACTGAAACACGTTTCAACAAAACAAAGACACTTACACATGTAAAGGAACGGATAGCTCGGGACCATTTGCAAAATCTGCATCCGGGATATAAACATCCACAACCAACTCTCGGGAATTGATGCTACGAACTACTCCTGTATTCTCGATTGCCTAAAATCCATTGATATTTGCTTTTATTAATTTGGCAGATAAATCGTAACACCATTCACCCAAAAATCCGAAATCTCTGATTATTTAATACACCGTTGTAGAGCCACTTGTCCCCGTGTTGCCAAGATTTGTTAGCAAGGCAAAGGATCGTAATAAATACGAATCAGCAACAGAACCACAAACCAAACGGCGTTTCGGTTAAGGCACAGAAAAACAACTAATCGATATAATCCAAATCATCCTATCACAGGCTTATTAAGCCTAAAGCATGCGCTGCAAGAAACATACATAGCCGAATCCAATGCACGAATAAAAACGCCCTAAATTTACACGGAACATAATTAGCTCATATAATTGCTCTGTCTGGAGGAGGGAGTCCGTGTCCTTAAAGTCAATTGGAATAACTTATTGAAATTTTTTAATAACAAATTCAGTTGATGTCGTCAGCTCCCTCTCCCCTTCCCCTCAACCTCGCTACACTTATATCACTAGCTGCACATGTGAACGCCTGCTGTTCTTTTATCTGGCAGAAAACAGTTAAAGGTTGCAGCTGTGCAAAACAACTCTCAAACAGAAGCTAATTTTGCACATGACGCTGCATTCGATAAGAAAAGTGGACTAAGTCCATGAAAGAATAAACGGCAGCACACACCAGGTAGTTGGTGCGACTGTGTGTTTTGTGCAGCTCCGTTCAGCTGACGTTTATGCAACTCTGTTCAAGGGGACCTTGAAGTTAGAAACGTTCAGCGCTCTATGTTTGATATGCACAAAAATTTTTATGTTTCCTGAGTCATTAATTTTGGCTCCACAACTTTCGTGTGTCTGTACATAAGAACTAGGCGAGTGCAGGGACTGAATTCATACGCGGTCAGACAACAGTGTCCTAAAATTTCAGCTTCCTAACTTTTCTGGTGCCCGAGTTAATGATTTTTGCGCCAAAATTTTCATGTTCCATACTGAGACCCAGCGTACATGACAACAAAATTTAACTCCACGGAATCATATACGCCAAAAATTCCTTAGTATTTTTGTGCTTCCGGCGTATTAATTCAGGCGCCAAAACCTGTATATAACCGTACATGAGAAGCAAGCGCATGTGGGCGCTGAATATGATTTTGCAAGATCAGACGCGAGTATGGGACACCCACTCTTTCAAAATTTTGAGCTTCCTAGCCCCTTTGGTTCCCAAGTTGAAAACTCCAAACAAAACGCACTCAAAACAGGGTCACGACAGTATGCATTTTGTGCAACTGTTGCAGCACAAAACGCATAAATGGAATACGTGATCAAACTTCTCTGTTATCATCGCCTATTAAAAAACTCTCTTACTATGAACTCCGTCACGGCCCATGCACATATTGGTACTTCCATGCTTTGCTTGACTCGCTTCAAAAGCACAACGTATGTTTTTCGAATACCGTACACACGCACCGCATCTTCCAGCACTCCAAAACGATCGATAACATGACCAACCCAAACAGCTTCCAGCCTGGGCTGATCCCAAGACGACACTTCAATTTTGGATTCCAGCTCAAATAACCAAACATTTCTACGCGCATAACACGGAGTTTTATTAAGGAGTAACGTTTTTTATTGAATAAAGATTGCTGGCGGAAGCGCATGAAGATATGTCAAGAAGCAAACACGCATGCGCAAAAGGAAACTTTTGAGGCCAACT